AATTGATCAATATTTCTAGTGAATTGAACTCACTTATAATATCGTATGGGTTAACAGAATATTAAGTTTTGCCCAAACGACATCCAATTCATTGAAGGTCTGAGTAAGGGTGTCATGACCTGAGGGCTCGATCCTTCTGGCAAAGTCGCGACCATTTCCTCGCATATACGCATCTTTGTGTGGTTCTTAATTAATAAAAGATTGAACATAGGCGAATTTCATGAAAGATAGCAACTGCTAACATTCGTTTTCTCCGTATTCAGCTTAACATTTTTATGGATAAATAAAAGAAAAAGTGAAGAAGGAGACCAACTCTATCTCTAACACCATCCACAATCTTGTGGTTCTAAAATGCCAAAAAGTGGTAGAACCCCCTTTCAATATGTGCGATAAATTTTAATCATACTTGGTTGACATTGATTTCGAAGGTGGATAGGGTGGAGCAGATGGCACAGATTTGTCCCATCAATCTCAGCAAGTTTGTTTACAAGATTATTGCTAATATTATGATGGAGTAATTTGTATTGTATTTACCTTTGATTGTTTCACCAAAGCATAAAGGTTTTGTGTGTGGTTGTCAGATAGTGGATAACGTCCTTATTGGACATGAGATTATGCACTACTTGAAGAATATGAGAATCAGCAAACAAGGGTTCATGGCAATGAAGGTGGATATGAAGAAGGCATACGATAGGGTGGAATGACCTTTTTATTCGCATTGCTAGAGAAATTTGGTTTCAGTACGCAATGGGTACGTTAAATGGTTACGGGTTTGTATGACTTCTTATACTTTTTCTATCATGATGAATGGATAGTCGGCTGAATATTTTAGGGCTTCTTGCAGGTTTAGACAAGGGATCCTTTATCTCACTTACTGTTTGCCTTGTGCATGGAGTGATGGAGGGGTTTGCTGCTTTACTCTGTCAGGCGTTGAATATCATTCTCTGTCTGGTCTGCATATTAGTCCAAGATGTTCGTTGATTTCTCACTTGTTCTTCGCGGATGATTCGTAGCTTTTCCTCCAGGCTTCTTTCAGGGAATGTGAGATCTTGGTTGAGCTCCTAAAATAGTATGAGATGCCCAGTGGGCAAAAAGTTAAGTAGTCGAATTTTGTGGTGTGCTTCAGTAAGAATATTAATCAACTAATGAGGCTGGGTTGGGCATGGTGGTTGGTGCGCTTGGAGTGACTACCCGATATCTCTGTCTCCTGTCCCTGGTGGGGCGTACGAAAATGGATACGTTCAGATATATTGAGGAGAGGGTCCTAAATAGACTCTAGAGATGGAGGCAAATGTTTAAATCGTGGACAACAAAGGAGGTTCTCATTAAGGCTTCTTGCAGACTCAAGCAAGGGGATCCTTTATCTCCCTTACTATTTGCCTTGTGCACGGAGGGGTTTGCTGCTTTACTCAGTTAGAAATTGAATGTCATTCTTCGTCTAGTCTGAGTATTAGTCCAAGATGTATCGTAATTTCTCACTTGTTCTTCGCGGTTGATTCTAACTTTTCCTATAGGCTTCTCCCAGGGAATATGAGACCTTGTTGGATCTCCTGAAATAGTATGAGATGCATAGTGGGCAAAAATTTAAGCTGGTGAAGTCTGTGGTGAGCTTTAGTAGGAATATATTATCAGCTAATGGTGTTGGGATGGGACATATCTTGGGGGGTTGGTGCGGTTGGAGTAACTAACCAATATCTCAATCTCTCGTCCCTGGTGGGTGATCGATTTCATCTGTGCAAGTTATTGTCAATGGTTAGCACGTTTCAACAACTACCCCATCGTCGGCCAAGTTTAACCTAAAATGGCATTGTTGTAAAGTGGCAATCAAAGTCGAATTCTACTCAGGTCCTGGTACCCTAGCCTACTTCCCATGTTGTTGCTAACTAGCCAATCGGTTTGAGGATTTTGTATGGAGGATATGAGTGAACTACTAGTTAAGAGAACAAATAAAGATAAAGGCAGGAACTTTGGAGAACTATCCCTCACCCTAGATTAGGACTACTATGTAATGTCTCGATACTTAGGGTTTGTCGAATGTGGTGAGTGAGCTATTTTTCATGGGCTTCATGGTTATCCACACGCCTCCGAGTACACCCCCCTAAACCCATTTACAGTCACCTCGATCTAGGCTATCGTATCTGGGGCATTAAGCTCGTAACTCCTTTTACTGTTACTATCCATCATTCACACTAAGGTTTCATCCTGGCCCTAATTTTTTTCCCATAAATTTATCAAAATTAAAAATTAGTAAATAATTATAAAAAAATACTTAAGTTCAGAAAAAGATAACATCAGGAATAAACGATCTCGTTTCCAGTTTGACCAAGAAACCAAGACCGAATTCCCAGCCCTAGTAGGGAGGAAAGTAAATCTGGAAGGAAGAGAAAATGGATATAGCGCAAAAATTGATTGGAGAAATGAAAATACTAAAATAGTCTAAATTGATCGAGAGGTGGGTGCAGGGTTGTCTACTAGATCGTGGAGGCCCTATTTCAAAATCTAGACGTGGTCCAAATCGACCTTTAACTATAATAAAACTAAAATGATTATAATAACATTATTCAAAATGTAATATCTTTCTATATTGTTTAAATTAAAATTATCTATTATTTTTCAGATATTCGTATTCTCCATGAGATCATTTTCAATTGTTATTATAGCTAAAATTATCTATTAAACACATCATCATACTCATAATCAATCAATCATACACTAAAAATACAACCTACAATATACGATCGGTAACTAACGAATCTAAGTAGAGGCCCTGTGCCGGAGGGCGGGCCAGCACACCCTCTTGGCCGGCCCTGTCTAGGAAGGCATTCCTATATAAAGGAGTACTATCCATCCATAGGGTCCAATTCAAACATCTAACCTTAATTTGCTCTATGGCACATACCCGTCTAACCCTAAAACTCCATACCCAATGTAGTATCTCAAGTAGGCTAGTAGAGAAGATTAGGGCCACTTACCCGAATAGAATCAAAGCTAGGAAACATAAGAATCAACCAGGTAAACACACTCATTCATTAAACCCCTAAAATATCCATACATACGCAGTAACCATAAAACTAGGGTTTGGGGTTTAGAACCTCTAGTGTCTTAGAGGACTACTCCACAAAGGAGGGAAGAAAATACATAAAAGAGGTGGAAGAAGACTTGATGTTGAGGAAGATGCCTCCCATTCCTCTAGCTCTTTCTCCTCTTCTCCTTCCTTCAGCTTCTCTCTCTCTCCTCTCTCTCTATAAAACCATAAATTCTATCTCAAAATCAGCTCTCTTGAATAGGGGAAAAGGTGCCTTCTATTTATAAGCACCGGAGGACGGAGAAGTTCGCGTGCAGGCAGGGTCAAGATCTTGGGCGCAATCTTTAGCACAGATCCCGATCTGAAGACGCTGCAGTTTTGGGCATCGGGGGTAAAGAGTTTGTGGGCTGACTTCTCGGTCGCGATCCACGAGTCACGGCCATGAACTTCCTTGTAGGCAGTTTGTGCTTCTGTCGTGTTCTGCCTAGGGAAACTCTCTGTTTCTCATTGGCTGCTTCCTTGCAAAGTTTGCGCCCTAGGCCCTCTAGATCGCATGAGCGATCTTATGCTTCAATGTCGCGATCTTTGGCTTTACTTCACAGGCTTCATTCTTGGTCATGATATCTTGCTAGAGCCTGCGGTCTTCAGTCTTTTGCATCATTGCTACACTTGTGATCTTATTTTGTACCTAATTTGCATATATTGTCTAAAACACCCTAAAATCAAAATGAAATCGAATAAGAACGAAATAGGGATGCAATTGAAATTGATCAAACAATTATGCACATGAATTGGCATGAAACAAACCTTAATATGAAGGTTAGCTAACACCAATTTAGGTGTTATTAAACTCCCCCAAACTTAGGCGTTTGCATGTCCCCAAGCAAACCTACTCAAACCAATGCAACATGATAGACAAAATAATGGGGAATGCACTCTAGTTCTTCATTGCATAAAGAAGAATAGACAGAGATGAATAAACGTTACTATCATCTTACTGTGCGAGCACAAACTATCGAGTGAGGACCATGTCAACTACCTTAGGCCGAATATGCAAGGTGTGCACAGGGGGATTCTCAAACAACAAATAAGCACAAGAACTCTTGAAGGTGCTCTTTTCTTCTCTCTTTAGATTTTAGGAGTTGTTTTTATTGGTCTCCTTTTTCGACATTGGCGCGAATTGCACCAAGCTTTTGCAACTCGTTTGCAAACAAAGCATCTATCCCTGATGACCAAGAGCTGATGAATCATAGCCTTCCTTTTCAAGGTCACCACTTCCCATCCTGCACTCCACATTGGGTTGCCACACATGTTGGGCACAAACGAGAGCTATGAGGTCTCATGAATCGCTAAAAATAACTTTGGACCTTGATGTACGATTCCGTTAGGAGGAAACATGCGTGGGGGATGGTAAGTAGTGAAAGATGGTCGGGACGTGGTAAAGCTATCTGATCCCCAATCATATCCTCAAAGGGCACTCCGAATTTGTGGGGACTGGTTGCCCCTTTCACGTGAGAAGCTCATTTCAAAAGATTATTCTCTCTTTTCTTTTTTCTCTAATACGCGCAAACTTGTGAAATCTTCGAGTTCAATAGACAAATAAAAGAGAATCCCACACACATGTTCTTCCAAAAATAGTAAACATCAACTCACAAGAAAACTGCCCTTTAGAGTCCGTTATTTGTTATGTTTAGTGTCGGTTAACTGAACCGACACGAAAGCTGCCGACACTAAACTGATCTATGTCGGTTTTTTACAACCACCGGAATAACCGACTCAAATTTAATTTGTGTAGGTTTATTTACGCCAGTTACAACTGAAGCCAATTGTTCATAAGGGAACACCATTTTTTAAATTAACAAATATTATATGTGTCGGTTCATTATAACCGACTCAAACCATTTATTCTTTATTAAAAAAAAGTCGGGCTCCTCGCCGGACAAACCCTCCGTCACCCGTTCCTGTCAGACGCTGCGTCCGCCCCATCCAGCTCACCAAACCAGCTCCCTAAATCCGGATCTTAGCAACCCAGGAAAAAAGAAACATCTAATCCAGCAATTAAAACTCGGCAAACCCCAAACCCAACAATCTGTTACCACAAATCCAGAAAAACGGATCCCCAACTACAAAGAGAAATTGAAGGAAATGGTTCTGTAAAAATAACAATAATGCTAGTAATCTTTTGCATCAAATCCACATAGCCAGTAATCTGTAAAAATAACAACAAAGGCCTAATCCAGAAACCCCCAAACCCAGCTTCCCTATATAATGTTTGTTCTGCGTAAAAAAAAAGTATGCTCATCGCCAAATCGAGGTTTGCCACCGATCGGTAGTACTCTTTACTTCACCGGATCCAAGTTGCTTTGGCTCCATATCCTTCGTCGGTGGCTTGATTCCCAGTAGATGGACCTTCTCTGACCATTGGGTTGTACGGAGGAAATCGAGTGGCGGCACACCCAGATTGTGAATTGGGAGGGAATTGTTGATGGCGAGCTATGTTCCGGCGAGGTCTTCGCTCCCACCCTCAATCGTTGTAAGGTCATTGTTGGATCTTCGCAAAGAAGCATATTGGGAGAGTGCAGCTAAGGAATCCAGATCGTTGTACACAGTAGGGACAATGGCGATTCTTGTTGGAAGTGCAGGGACGACGATTCTTGCTGGAGATGCAGGGACGACGACTTTTGATGGAGGTGAAGGGGAAGGGAAGGAGTTGAGAGGTAGAGTGGAGGATTGAGGAGACGTTTCAGATTCAAATGTGAAATTTCAATGATGCAGGAGGAGTTTCAGATTTGTTCAATTGGAAGAGGGAGGGAGGTAGGTTTCCAATTTCAATCGAAAGAGATAGGGTTACAAGAGTAAGGTGGGAGAATGGAAAAAGTAGAGGAAAATTTTTCATTTCCGCCAAAATGAAATTTTGAGCCAAACAAATCAAAATCTCTCGGCCAAAACAATCAACATGAAATTTTCAGAAAATTCAAAACAATCAAAATGTGTGTCGGTTACCTTAAAACTGACTCAAAATCATACTAAAATTGTGTCGATTACATATAAACCGACGCAAAAGTATCCAAAATTGTGTCGGTTCAATGAAACCGACTCAAAATTACCAAACATTGTGTTGGTTAAATAACCGACACAAATTTTGGACACAAAATAGAAAATTTGTGTCGGTTAAGTGAACCGACACAAAACAACCGACTCTAAACCATGTTTTTCTTGCAGTGGATCTAATCATGCAACTATCACCTAGCGAATACAACACATCAATTATCTAACAAATCAAAGCATATCGAGTAGGGATTTGCAAGGAACAAGGTAGATTGGAACTCTCAAATTTGAAAAAAAATTGGGTAATGCATTTAAGGTACCAATTTACTATCTATTGACCATAAATCACCACAACACAATGCAATCGCTAGCATACACTCCCATAGGCATTCATCAACGTGTTACATTTATAAATAAGGGAAGATACTACCAATTCATGATTCAACCAATCATCATAATCATTCAAACGTTCACACACATCCCCCCACACTTGAGCAACACATTGTCCTCAATGTGGGAGTTTCATAAGAGAAGATTGTGAAGGTTACCATAGGTTGGGTTGTGGGTTGGTGAAGGTACACAAGTGTAGGTCTTTGTCTTCTTGGTGGTTTTCACAACATAAGAAAGATAGGAAGACTAATAAGAGTTATAGGTATGATAGATATATGATATAAGTACTAATACTACTAGTGCTAGAATATATAAAGTACGGAAAGTAAAAAAAAATTTAGCAATAATTAAATATTATTTTAATTAAAATAAAAGAAAAGCAAAGAAAAAGAAAAGATAGAACATAAGCCCTGGATGCCTAGTAATCAATCCTCCTCGGAGGGTCCTTCTTTTTCTTGGAGTGGAGCTATCAATTTGGGGCGATGCATCTTCAATTGGAATGTCCATTGATAGACCGCTTTCTGCACATGTTTTGCCCATGATTATTGAGGTTTAGAGCAAAAATAGAGGTTTAGAGAGAGAAAGTGACAAAGAGAGACTCTTGAGCGCCCTAGATCAAGTTCTACACCATTAGAGCTCGATTCAAGCTTCAAAGGAAGACGATTGACGATCCGGTGCAGATTTCTTTCGTCTACACTATGATTTCCACATCTGGCTTAGCTTTCCACTCTCTCTCTATGGAGTAATCCCCCTCTATCACTTGGGTATATGAGAACCCTAGATTATATGTTAGGATAAGTTGTATGAACCCTTTGCCTTGAATGACTAATTGATTTATATCTAATTAAAATACTTTCTCTGAATTACTTGAGTCCTGATCACATTCATTCCTGCTTTGACCTAGAAAGATAATCTATGCATAGGTCAATAGAGCACCTTGAAATGGAAGTAGTGGATTGACGACTTTAGTCGGGAAGTCGATTCCTGCTCTGTACTGGTTTAGAAACTAGTAGAGGAAGTTTTAATCTTATTGCCTTAGTTAGCTTACATCAGTGGAGGTTAGTCTCCCGTCGGGTATTCTAACTAAGAGGGTCTGAAGCACTTTAGTCGAGACTTCAGACTATTTAAGAACTTTCCGTAGTTTAAACATCAATCAACTTGGTTTAGGTGAATTACAACTTGGCTTAACTACAATCTAGGGTGACTCATACCTGAGTGAGCCTTCTTAACTTGAATCACAACCTTTCCTGCTTTGTGTTTGTTTAGACTAGCCATAGTATCACTACAGTTAAACCGCTAGATAACAAGAATTTCACGGAGTAGTCATCACATCTAGGACCCGGGTTGACAATTAAAGCTAAACTCTCTATACTACACATTAGTAGATGGTTACACTTGGCCACTTTCTAGTGTGACAGTACAGGCCAGTCACATTTTTTGCGATGTTGTCGGGGACGGCTAGATTGTTGAATATACGTGATTTCTGTTACTTTAGCATTTCTTTTCCGCATTGATTGGTTTTCTTTGTCCCACTTTTGCCTTCACGGGTAGCTTGCTTAGCTGTGTGCAGGTAGTGCATGACCCGTAGCCAGTCGAGAGCAGTACTACTGTTAGATCCGGAGCTAAAATGCACTTGTTGCCAGCTTAGGAGAGTGCAACAAGTGAGACTGGCTATGGAGGAAAAAACAGGTTGACGGTCGGATTAGCAGCGACACCGGGCAGGAGGACGACATGGGAGAAAAAAACAACCTGAATCAGGGACATCCCCTGGGGATGCCCTTCCAGGTCCCTCCAGTGAATCAAGTCCCACCTAATGGTGGCTTTCCACAGGCAGACGCTGCCAACCATCAGCCACCTCTCCATGGGCTCACTATGGAGTACTTCTACACTCCACGGATCGCGGACATCCACCCAGTCATCGAGTATCCACCCATTTCGGCTAACAACTTCAAGATCAAGCCGTGTTGGATCTAGTTTATTACATCCTTCATCCAGTTTCATGGACTTAAGGATGAGGAGGCGAGGGGGAACCTTTATCGGTTTTGCAGCTGCCCAATGGGTTCAAGTTGAACAGTATTCCCGATAACAAGATCCACCTTCACCTCTTCCCCCACTCTCTAGCGGGGCATGCAAAGAAGTGGCTAAAGAATCAGCTGCCACTGTCCATCACTTCTTGGGATGATCTGGACAACAAATTTGTGCACATATACTATCCGGCCTCGAAGACTTTGATGATGTAGGTGGATATCACTCATTTCTGCCAAGAAGATGATGAGTCATTGCGAGATGCTTGGGAGCGTTACTCGGGACTGTTCTGGAAGTATCCCCATCACGGCTTTAGTTATGCATTCACTGTGGGGAACTTTTATAGTGATCTGTCTATGGAGAGTCTGAGATTGATTGAGTCTTTGTGTCCGGGTAGAGACATTATCACTAAGGCTCCACCCGAGCTGAATAAGATGATTAGTACTTTGGCCGCCAGAGATCATTCTTGGGGGCATATCACCAGAGGTAGGAGCTCTTGAGGCAGAGGTGTGCTTGTCATGGAGTACATATTAGGGCTTTAGCGAGAGGTGGCAGAGCTGGTTCAGTGCCTTATACCAGGCAGAGGCATGGTCGCAACTCTTGTAGCCCAATGTTAGTGGTGTGATAGTTCAAACCATTTGGTGGAGGATTGTCAGGCTATGAGGGAGTCCTTCACCCTCCAGGAGCAGTTGGACTTCATCGCCAATGCTCTGCGCCTTGACCCCTACAGTGGTACCTATAACGAGGGGTGGCGCCAACATCCCAATTTCTCCTGGAATGGGAACAACAACAACACCACCAAGCTTTCCGGATTCACAGCACCAGTTGGTGGCTTTCAGTAGAGGTAGCAATACCAAACCCCACGGGGATCATTCCCAAACCAGTACAGAGAAGTTCACCTGGATGGACCAGTTTATGGAATTCTCTATGGGGAAGTTCAATGCATTGGAGGCAAGCAAGAGAAACCAGAGTGCCATTTTGCAGGACCTCCAAAACCAGATTGGAGGGATAGCCCAAAACAAAAGCACCAGGGCACCGGGAACTCTACCTGCCAACACCATCCCAAATCCTCGTGAGCCTCACCAGTAGTTGGATGCCATTACTACAAGAAGTGGCAAGATGACGACTGTTGCTCCTTCTCTTGCTAGGAAGGAGGAACCAACAACTGCTCCAACACTTCCAGTTGAAGATGAAGAGGCGGGGATAGAGAAGGGAGCACTTGCTCCCAAACCACAACCAATGGTTAAGGAGCATGTTCCCCAGCTTGCCTTCCCCACTCGTATGCACAAGGACAAGATGGAGACTGGGTTTGCCAAGTTCATGGCAACATTGAAGCAGGTCAACATCAGCATGTCATTCGTGGAGGCAGTGTCGAAGATGCCAAAGTACGCGAAATTCATGAAGGATCTCCTCACCAACAAGAAGAAACTTGGGGATCTGTCGACAATGATGTTGAGCGAGGAGTGTTCTGCAATCCTGCAGAACAAGCTTCCAGTGAAGCGCAAAGACCCATGGATTTTAACTATCCCTCTTATTATTGGCAACATGCATGTAGGAAAGTCCTTGGCGATCCTAGGAGCTAGAATCAATGTCATGCCTTATAAACTGTTTAAGAAGCTAGGCCTAGGTGAACTGACTCGCTACGACACAACTCCTAACAATGGCCAAGTGTAACCAATGAAACGGACTGCAGTATAGTGGCTCAAGTAATAAATATCGAATCCACGGGTCTCTAAAGTTACTATTACTCAGCTTCAGTTCATTATCTAGCAAACCAGATTAAGATGGAAGAACTAAAACTACTCTAACAAACTACAGTTAAAGTTAATCTAATTACAGGTTGGGAACTAACTTAGGTATGACTCCCCCTAGCCACTAGCAGACTAATGATTGATGATTTCTAACTTTTTTCACTTTCATTCACAATGCGGAGAATCCTTGACTAGACCTTGAGTCTCGACTAAAGGAACAAGGCCCTCTTGAGCCAATTGCCTAGAGGCGTTCTGAACTAGATTCCCTCTATCGAAAGAGGTTCTCAATCGATACAAAGCAGTGAACCAACCCTCGACTAAAGAAATCGATCCACTACTATCAATTTATGGTGCTTTATTGACCTAATCAGGTATTCGCTCTCATAGGATCAAAGCAAAATCAATAATCTCGACTAAAGCAGAATTGAATCATGAAAACATGCATAGATTGAATATGAACTCAAGGTTATCAAGTCAGAGTACTCATACAATCATCCAATAAAACAAACATAGCTAGGGTTCCTCAAAACCTAAGTGAAGGGAAGTTACTCCATAGAGAAGAGAGAGACTGCAGTAAGAATCTTCAGATGATCAGTCTTCAAGTCCGGGATTGTTCCTTGAGCTTCCAAGGCAAAGAAATCCTCCAGTTCCAGTCCAAGAATGCCCTCAAATCGCTCTCTCTCTCTCTCTTTGGTTCGTCCCTAGGGTGTTTGGGATTCAAAAACCCAACTCCCCCTCTCCTTTGGCTCGAATTT